TGTGTTGGTGCTAGTAGGAGACGTTTTAGATCCCAATTTGTAGATTTTAGGGGTGATAGTGAAGAATCAGAGGGATCCGAGAGTGATGTAAATCCGGATGGAGATGTGGGATGTGAACCCGCTTGAGGTTGAAAAGTAAGGGTGGAGTTCAACCATTGAGATGAGATGCCCAACCTTAGCGTGGGATAACCCCCAACTTAGGATGAGACGATCACGTACCCTTGGGATGAGATGCCTAACCTTGGGTTGGGATAACCCTCAACTTAGAATGAGGCGATCACGTACCCTTGGGGTGAGATGCCTAACCTTGGGGTGGGATAACCCCCAACTTATGATGTGGCGATCACGTACCCTTGGTGAACGAAATATTTTGGGGGCATTGTAAACCCCCAGGGAGTCGATAACCCTTGGCGAACGAAATATTTTGGGGGCAGAGGTAAGCCCCCAGGGAGTCGATAACCCTTGGCGAACGAAATATTTTGGGGGCAGATGTAAGCCCCCAGGGAGTCGATAACCCTTGGCGAACGAAATATTTTGGGGGCAGAGGTAAGCCCCCAGGGAGTCGATAACCCTTGGCGAACGAAATATTTTGGGGGCAGATGTAAGCCCCCAGGGAGTCGATAACCCTTGGCGAACGAAATATTTTCGGGGCAGAGGTAAGCCCCCAGGGAGTCTATAACCCATGCTAGCATTGAAGGGCCTCGTCGGTTGTCTGAACCGATCGAGGGTCGGGAAGAAGTGAGTCCTGGTGAGGATCTGGTGGGACATCCGAGGAAGGTCTCGTGGTGGATCCCGAGCACGAGGAGGAGGATGTGGCAAGCCAGAGCCTCCACGAGGTGGGAGGTTGTTAGCAGTGTCACACTCCCCCTGGATATATATATATATATATATATATATATATATATATATATATATATATATATATATATATATATATTGATGATGTTAAAAATAGATCACCTCAAATAGTTGAGATATGATGAGCTGGAAGAGCAGAGTGGATCACTGGCTCACGAGCTTGATGACCTTGAGATACCTGCGATCATAGAACACGTGAACTAGGCCGGGGGTTGATCCGGCGGAAACCCCTCCGACGCTCAAGTCAGACGTGCGGATAATGGAAATAGTTGGGAGAATATGACCCCTAGTCTTATTTGGATAATAGGGCGTACCTTTAACAAATGAATTATATCGTTATTTATACCATAGATGAGATCGTTGAGCCCAAACCTTATTTGAAGGTGATTGGGCCTCGGTGATATTAGTCTTCAATATTGGGCTCGTGGCCCAGTAGGTAAATAAATTGTAAGTCCATTGGGTTGGCCCAATTAGGCATATCATTAAGCCCCCACTCTCGAGTCGATGTGGGGGCCATGTCGAAATGGGTGACAGATCGTGTCGAGAGTAAAAATTGTAGTAGTCGCTCGTTGGCGTAAGGCCTGATGGTGTGCGAAAACGCGTTGGAGCATGTGTTGGAGGGGAGTGAAGGCGCGTTGGCGCGTAGCGCGACCAAAACGTCGCGATGTAAATTACTTGAGTCGTCGGCGTTGTTATCTCCTCGTGGGAGTTGTTTAGTTATTGACGTTGTCAAAGGTTTGATGCGTTGCTTATATGTGTTTACATATAGCCTTGTGCGTGATGTACTTGATGAGTGGATCAGGCTCTCAAGATTTTTTTTTTTTTTTATATGGGGATCGTGCCCCTTGTTAGACCTCGTGGGTCGTACATATGTTTGGACCGTGGCCACGTTTTAATAAACGACCCGTCGAAAACAAGTAGAGAAATTTGAGTAATCAAGCTGGCCAGGCTATATAGATTCTCGTAATATCTCTAAGTGTTTCTAAGGTTGGATTTGTAGTGCCGAGCGAGTTGGCTCCTCGTGGGAGTTGTCTCGATGCGGGTTGTAGTGCCGAGGGAGTTGGCTCCTCGCGGGAGTTGTCTCGCAAGCCCCCCACTCTCGAGACGATGTGGGAGCCAAGTCGAAAAGGGTACCGGATCGTGTCGAGAGTAGATCGGTGTTGTAGTGTTGCGTTAATCGTTGGCATGGCGTGGAGAAATAAATGTTTTTATTTATCCGTTTGATAGCGAGCGCGATTTGGTGGAGCGCGTTGAAATTCTCGCGCGATTTGGTCAAGCGAGGTGAAATCTACGCGCAATTTGGTGGAGAGTAGCAAAAGTTGTGCCCATTTAGGTGGGAGCGCGCGCGATTTGGTGAGGCGCATTGAATAGCTCGAG